CGGGTCGGCCGTAAATCCCCGGTGCTTCGTGGCACCATTTGTATTCTGTCAGTCACTTGCTGTACGCTCAGCCTGGGCTGGGAACTGAATACCCCATTCAGAGAGGCACTCGCACGGCGTGTTATTGCAATTTAATATTTTCACACACAGACACATCATTATCTGGGAACCTGACACTGGCAGCATAATTCTGTAATTTTTCAAGAGGGCCTAATTTTTCTAAATGCAAGCACCAGGGCCCGGGATTATCTAAACAGCCTCGTTTCCTCTTTGTTTCTTCTCAGGGGTTACAGCGTTCAGAAAAGTGCTCCAGATTGCTGCTGCCTCTCCACCTTTGAACTTTTCCAGTCTCTTCTCCCACAGTGACCAGCTGCAGAACAGCTTTGGGCCGGGTGCGCACGAGCTGCTGAGGCAACCAACTCTGGCGCCGTGGAGGGCTAAGGACCGAGGTGCAGCCGAGGCAAGTGGCTCTTTCAAGGTGCAAGAGGGCAGGGAGCCGTGCGATGTCGCTGATCAACAGAAACAGAGTAGCTTGGCGGGCCCTCTCGGGCCGACCTCAGAAGCACACTTGCCTGCAGGTGTGTGTGTTGTGGACAGACAGAGCACACACGCGTCCGCACGCTCCCTGGAGACAATCTCAACATGCCAGCCAGATGAAGGGGTATGTGAGGGGCCACTTCTCCCTGAAGCAGTGTCAGCTCTGGCCAAGAAAACGCCCTCTGGTTTTCAAGTAGTTCAGAAACGCATCGGCTTTTCCAGGAATAAGAGCCTGCGGGTCACCCGCAAGGAAGGCCAGAAATCTCCCAGGGAGCCAGCTCCTGTGGCACGTCCCTCAGGCCAGGCCGCTCCATGCGGCTTGCTGCCTAAAGCAGCAGTATTTTCACCAAGTCAATAGATACTCTCTGCGTTACAGGCTTCCCTCCGAAAGGGACCCACGGACCTTGGGGCAATCCCCCTGACAGCCCTGCAACCGCACCCCGAAGGAGCCCGGTGCACACACAGGGGCTGGGCCAGCAGGGCGGCACTCGGGAGAGGGATGACAGCAGACCCTCTGATGTGGGGCTGGAAGGGGCTGGAAGGGGCTCTCAGGCCAGCACTGCCGAGAGATGCTGACATAGCCAAGACCTCTCCTCCCTATCACGGCCTTCACTCGGGAGCATAGTCTGAGGCCAAACAGGCCCAGGCAGCAGCGGAGATTCCGGGACGTGGCTCCACCAGGGAAGCGGTGGGCAGCAGGGGGTAAAATGAGGATTAATGCCCAGAGCCGTCAGAGACAGTCACGCCGACTTCCTGTTTGCCCGGGGACCACCGCGGCCACCCTGCGGTCACCATTTGGGCTCCTCCGGTGAGAGTCACTTTTGGTCTTTGTTTAAGTGTTTTACGGACTGATGTGACCAGCCTCTCTGACGAGGCTGTTACAGCCCGTTGGGCAGAGAGAAATGTCTGGGCATTTTTCAACGCGTTCCCCTTTCCCTGGGAGACCCAGCTACAGGAGCCATGGCGGAGTCTGTTATGGAAATCCACAGCTGCCGTACTATCGGCCGCCAGGTCTAGATCAGATACAGGATTCAACCATGTCACGGGCAAGAGCTCCCGGTCACATTAGAGCCCGTTCCTCACGCATGCACCTCATCATTTCCTCCCTCCGCTAAAACCTTGGCGGCGTCCTGCCTGCCACAGGTACTAGAGAAACGAATTTCATTTGAACTACCGAATTAAAGAGAGAGAGACAGAGGCTCATGGCAGCAAAGAAAATTACATAACCCTCCTCTCTGGCAGCCTCCCTTCCTCTCTTCTGGGCCTTTCAAATGTGAAACAGGGCTGGGAACAGGCATCACCACGCCACTGCAGAGAGAAGGCCCTGAGCCTCGTGTCTCCAGCGGCGGGGATTGGGGTGAGCTGTTGGTCAGATTCTGGCTTTCCTGCCATCTTAGAACACCATGGTCCGGACCCCCAGGCGAGGGACCACTCACTCCCCAGTGAGGACACAGAGCCTGCTGTGGAGCTGCTGAGCCCCTGACTTGCCACAGCGGGAGGCAGCCTGTACCACCCAGAGCTCGGGGACCCTGTCTCCCTCCAGGTGGGCCCCAAGCATGCATCCTGCAGCTGGAGAGGTCCTCTGCCCCCTGACATGCAGGTCTCAGAGCCCGGCGCACAGGAATCCCACCACACTATGCTTGGCACCAGGAAAGATGAGCGGACGGATGGGAATGGAACTTGCAGAAGCCCCAAGCCCCCTGCAAGAACTAGGAGGCCTCTGATAAGAAAAAAAGTGGCACGTGCCAACAGCTGTTTCCACCCCAGGACAGAGGCAAGGACGGAGGAGACCCAGGGAGGCCGACTGTGGGGAGGCGGCGGGGACGGGGGAGGCACCCACTGCATGTGGCAGGGGCCAGAACAGATTCCGGCACCTGCGCCTCCTAGTTTGAAATGAGCAGCTAATAATCATTGCATGTTTTATTTCAGGGCTGAGCTATAAGGCAGGAGTCAGAGCGGTTCTTCTGCTGCAGCCTAGGGAAGACCCCCGTGTGGTTTGGCTTTATCATGTGGTCCGGGCCCTGCCTACAGCGATGCCGCAGTACTGGTGGTCCACGCACCGGGCCTGGCCTGTGAGCCCCTGCGGCCTGCACACCCACCCCCCACAACACACACACAGGCTGGGGCTGAGGACTGACCAGTCAGCTTCCCAAACAGACCAAGGAGACAAAAACGAAGCTCCCCAGCTGGCCGCCTGGCTGATTGGAGGAGACATTGTGAAGCACCCCAGCCTGGCTCTGGGACCCCGACGTCCGGGAAAAAGCACGCACTAAATACCCTGGTGGACCTTCCAGATCCTTCTGTGCAGACACCCCCGCTGGAGGAACCGGTTCACACGCGTGCAGACACGGCCGCACTTCTTCAACCAAGTTCAAACTCACTTTTATTGTCCAAAGTGTCCTCACCTTTACCTGGTTTCACAAAGGGGAGAGTCCAGCAGCAATGAGGGAGGGGGCCAGCAGCAAACCCAGGCCAGCATGGGGCTGGGGACCCTGGGAGAGCAGGACACGCACACGATGCAGAGTTGGGGCGAACAGAGCCTGGGTTTCTGGGGCTGATGTGGGACACTCCTGGGCCTGTGTCATGGGACAGGGCCAGGCCCCACGGGAGACCTCGCCAGCAGCCTCTAGGAGGCCCATGGACCAGGACTTCATATTTGCCCCAAACATTCAGCTTTGTGATTCTTCTAAAGTGGGAAAGGAGACAAAGCTGCTGATTTCCCAACGCCGCAGCACACCCCACGGAAAGCAAACTGCAGGCCTGGAGACCTGCCCTGTGGGGGGCCACTTCAACGGGAACTGGCCCCAGAGCCACAGGTTTGGGGAGAGCCAGCCAAGATGCAGACCAGCCCCTCTGAGAAGCAAGAAGGGGCTTCAGACCCAGAGATGTGTGCTCTGTGGAGTTCCTGTGTCCCCCCACAAAACACCCACCATCACCCCAAGCTGAAGTTCCTTATAGAATACACATTTGGTATCAGAGGAGAAAACCAAACCTAAGTAAATCCATCAAGGTAAGTCGAAAGGCTAAGGAGGAGGGACAGGGAATAGTCCTTAATGTGCCCAAGCAAACCGAGCAGGTTTCTGGGAATTACCTAAGAAGCACCCGTAAAGCCTGGAAATCCTCTGCTCCGCACACCCAAGGGAAGGCAGCCCTGGCCCCGGCCTCCAGCTAACTCCTCTGCACACCTAAGGGAAGCCAGCCCTGGCCCCTGGCCTCCAGCTAAGTCACCTGAGCCCTTTCCTTCCTGTTAATGCCCCCCTGGCACTACCTGTGGGCGAGGAAGGAGACAGACACCCTGGGAGAAGCCCCGGGCTCCACTGCTTCTGCCCAGAGATGCTGGGAGCAGACAGAAGCTGAGCCCATGTGTCCCTGCTCCTGCACACCCAGACACCTTCCCTGAGCCACTCCACGCGGGGGACCAGCCGGCGGCCACTAGCAAGGGCGTCTGTGGCACAACTCAGCCTCCTCAGAGCACATCTCAGAAGCAGGAAAAGCAAACCCTTCCCTCGTCTTCCCGGCCCCAACAGATCCTCTGAGAGCCCCAGGTCCACCCCAGTTGGACAGGGAGCATGTATCCCGCACCCTCCCTGCATCCAGCGGTCAGTGCAGATGTGGCCAGGGCTGCAGTAAAGACACGGATCGCAACACACACGCACACTTGGACACACACACACGTGCTTGGACACACCCCCTCGCACACCCACGCTTGACGGAGCATGGGCTGGAGCGGCACAGTGTGCTGGGAAGCCTGTTATCCCGAGAGGACCGTCGATCTGGTGGGTTTCCTCACAGCGGGCTCAGAGAGCCGCTTTGCCAAGCAGGGCCTCGAGGTGGGCAGAGCAGAGGCTGCTCCTGGTTCTATACATTTGAAGTGGGCACCCCACGCGTGGGGGGCTTGGCTCACTCTCGGTCAAGCCTGGTGCGTGACTCCTCCTCCCCCAGGAGGATGGCGAGCAGCAGCTGCTGAGGGTTCTGCAGCCTCTGGCCTCTGGGGTCCCCTCTGGCCCGAGGTGGATCGCACATGAGCCTGTCACCGCACCCACTACTCCGCCTGAAGAGCGGGGTTCAGGCCAGAATGAAAAAGTGACTCCTTGTCACCGGGTTCGTTTCAACACAGGCTCCACGGCCTCCGCCCTGAGAGGTGCGTGTGCAGGCTTGGAAACAGCACCGCCATCAGCGCGGAAAATGCGCATGGGATGGCACGGAGCCTTATTCAGAGGAGATGAAATAGTCACTAGGACCCAGCCATGTTTTAAAATGATTATAAATTATTTTAACAGTGCATTTGCAAAGGGTTATAAAAACAGCCATAATATATTTTTTTCCTTAGATTCTAGAATTACCAGTGTGACAGCTAATGCAATAATGATTTGTTTCAAATGCCAGTGTTTAAGCTGTATAAAGCTGATTTTATACATTTTTCCAGTAGGCCGCATTGTAGTTAATGAAATTAAACACACCAATCGCATTTGTCCCCAGGGGACGAGGAACTGAACACACCACTGGTTTATTTTTTTATTAAAATAAATTGCAGCCGGCAAGATGGACTAATTGCATACAGAATTGAAAAAGAAACATTCCATTGATATAATTAAGCCAATTTTCATGGACAGAAATAGTTATAGTGGATATAAAATAAGCAAAACCTTCACCAGAATCTGACTTCCCTCCTTTTTTGTCCAAAATGTTAACTATTAAACAAATATGGTCTTGGAGGGGCCGGCACTCCTGTCTTCAGGCCTCAGGGCATTGTTCCTGCCTCTCAGGCTAGGCCCGCCAGGCGGGCCAGCCCAGGCACCTCCAGACCGTGGAGGATTTGATGGCAAAAGCCCAAGAGTGAAGTGGTCAGAGCAGGAAGAGGCCACCCCTCCCCTGCTCTGGGCCCACCGAAGCTTGGGAGCACTCCTGGCCCAGAACGGCCACCGTGGCCCTGCTGCAGCCTAGGAGACACCCAGACTTGAGGAGTCACGGCCCATGCCAGGCTGGACCAGAGACGTCGGCTGCCATCCCTTTCTGCCCTGTAGCTCAGACCAACAGGGCAGCAGCAGCTCCACCTCCCCTTGATTGCTGAGATGCGGGTGGGGAGGGGGGAGGGGGTGGGGGTGGTTATTCGCCTCCAGATCTGAGGGGTGGCAAGGGGCAGGTCCTACACCTCCTGGACCAACCTGAACCTCCTGCATTTCTCCTAAGGCAGTGAGCGAGGGGGTGTGGAGGGCGCAGGCCAGGCCACCTGACCAAGGTTTCTGCTCCTCTGTGCCTGCCTTTGGGGGCAGGACACCCACAGCAGGGGCAGGAGCGGTGGGGGATGGAGCCCAGCAGGAGTCCAGACCCTGCGAAGCAGGAATCCAGCCTACAGGTGTGAGGTCACTTACACGCTGGACGCGTGTGACGTCCTGCCTGCTTTTTAAGAACAGACCTGCTACAAGTTGAGCACTGGCCTTGAGAAAATGCTTAAACCCTGACACACACACACACACACGCACACCCTATGGAATTAGCAGCAGCCTGCAGTGCTCTGTGGGGGAGGGGAATGCTACATAAGAATCCCTGGAGGTCTTCATTTCACTGAATTTCAGTGGAGCCCTCAATTTGCTGTGTGGCCTCCCAAGAGTTACTCCACCTCTCTGCGCCTGGGATTTCTCACTTCCAAAAGTGGTGCCTGCTCCTCTGCACTCTGTCTTCCCGGGGTCAGTGAAGGGAGGAGGTGTCCTGTCTTCCAAGTACGCTAGGAAGCCCTGCCAGTCTCCCGCGGTTGCCCAGCAGGAGCCCAGGCTGCGGATCAGACTGGGCAGGCAGGTCTACCCTCGAAAGCCGGATCCCCACCCTCTGCCTCGGTTTCTCTGCACTTCCCTCTCCCTACAGCCCCTACTTAAGCTCAGGCGGCGCGCGCTCCCGCGTCTCTCGGGGCGCGGGTCGGGGATGCCGCAGGGAACCGAGGCAAAAAGGGGCCTGGCGCCCACGGTGTCCCGCACGAGGTCGAGGGTCGGTGGTTGGGGACGCGGAGGCTGCCCTCCTCCGCAAGGGAGGCCAGGAGGAGGGGACCCTCGGGTCCAAGCTGGGGCTCTAGAAGGGGAGAGAGCCGCTCCCGCCCGGCCAGGGTCGGGGCGCCAGGCTGCGCTGTGTAGACGCGGGCGCTGCTCCGCGGTAATTGGCCGCGACTTTGTGCGCGGGGAGCGGGAAGTCTGCCTAGACCACCAGCCGGCCAGGGGTCTCCCAGGCCCCGCTCCCCGACCCGGCCCGCGCCGTCTGCAGCCCTCGGCGGCCCGATTCTGAGCCCGCGGCCGCCGCTGCACCGCGGCGAGGCCCCAGCCAGCTGGCTTCGCTCGCGAAGTTTCTTTCCCGCACGGGCAAGTCGCCGGAGCTGCTCCTGGTCCTCCCGCGCCGGCGACGGGAGCTGCAGCTTCCAAGACTTGTTACACGGGTTTGATTCAAAACCTGATAAATTGTATTTAACGCTATTTGAAAATTTTAAACGAAATTATTCAAAAGATTTTTAATCCTGGATAATTTTTGTTGAAACTCTAATTATACATCACCTTAATTACCAGCCCCAGCCCCCCAAGGATCCCTAATTGCCTCCTAATTGAATAAAACAGGGGGCTAATCGGGCCCACGGCGTCCCAGCGAGCTGCCACCAGCCTCGCCTCCCTTGAGGGGCCTGGTGGGGGGAGCCCCTGGCTGCCGGGCCACCTTCCCCCACAGCCTCCCGGCAGAAACGGCAGCCCTGGTCCCCTGCTCTGCGCACTGCCCAGAGGACGGCTTGGGAGCGGAGGAAGCCTTGGGGCCAGGAGGGGCCAGGAGGTCTGGCCAGCACCTGCTCTGGAAGAGCCGCTCACAGGACAAGCAGGACGCCCCCAGTGGGTGTCTGGTGGTTGGCGAGCCTAGGGCATGGCCAGCGCCTGTCCCCAAGGAGCCCACCCAGCAGTTGCTCCAAAGCCAGCTTGGCAAGCCCCCTCCTGCCAGCTTCCGAGCCATGGCACACCTGCGAAGCCAGGGGCACAGGGAGGGCCTGTGGGCGACACACAGCCTCCTGCCGTGGGGCACCAGGCCCTGGCGGCCAGCCCTGCACTCCACCCCTCCACCGCAGCCTCTATGTTTTCGTCCGAAGCGGGGCAAGAGGCTGGACTCCCGCCGGACGTCCTGGCGCTGCTGCCCTAACCCGCCTCCAGACGGAAGGCTGCCGTCCTGGCTCCGGGGAGGGGACTGGTGGAAGAGGCCAACTTCCCCAGGGAGGGTGGGAGAGGGGAGGGTCCAGTCAGCCTGGCCTGTTTCTGCAGGAAGAAGGAAAGAGGCTGTGAGTTGGGCCTCCAGCCCCGCTCACCTCTACCCTGTCTCCAACACACCTTCCACACACATCACCCTCAGAAACAAGCAGGACACACGCAGTCCCCATCTAGGGGGGCCGCAGCTCCCCTACCCCAGGGGCTAGATGGCACTTGTGGAGAGGACACTCCCCCTGCCCTGGAGTATGTGGCGTCTAGGACATGGGGTCTGCCACCTAGGTGGGGATCAGGCCTCAAGGAGCAGCTCTGATGGGGGCACCGACGGGCACATCCTTCTCCTGCACAGAGGTCCCCAGCTGTGCTGTGAGGGGGATGGTGGTCCAGAGGGCACCTTAGTGGTGCTAACCCCCCACCTGCCCACCTGGCTCACAACAGCCCTAGAAACAATAAGCTTTTGTTAAGCGTTGAGTTTGTGATGTGGGGCCGCAGCGGCCCCTTCCCCACCGGCCCTACTGCCCTGGCTTCGGTAGGGGGACCCTGTCCCTGAACTGTCCTCACTCTGCTCCTGGCCCCCAGGCTCAGGTGGAGGAGGCTGTAGGTTTCCCGTCAGCTCAGCCACAGCCCCGGCTTGGGTGCCCCAGTGGCCACCTCTGTCCTTGGAAAGCTCAGCTAGGAGCCCAGGTCACCCCCAGAGCCGCCACTATTCAGCCCTTCACCAGACCCAGCCCGGAGGAGCAACCCACCTGAAGGAGGCTTGGAATGGCGTCTCCAGGGAAACACAAACGAGATTACACCTCCAGATGCACACTCGGCGGTGGCCCCCAAAACGCTGGGTCATGGGGTCGCCTCCACTGGCCTGGTGGCTGTTCTGTGCCCAGCCTGAATACCAGCCTGGTAACCATGACCTTGCCCCTGCCCCACCCCACAGTCCCCTGACCTGGTCAGCATTGTGGGGAGGGGAGGACCTGCTGGCTGCAGTGCTGGCCCTACCGCCTTTGATTCGGGTAATGGACTGTGGTCCCTGGGGAAGTCCACATCTGCTTAAAATATCGCCTGATGAAATGAAATTCTTCAGCGGATCCTGCCTTGCTCAGGGCAGGCAGTGTGATCCCAAACCTGCCTCAGCCACCTTGGGGGGCCTGGGGACAAGCGGTCCCAGCTGTGGAGCCCGGAAGGAGGGGTTCCCAGCGCTCGGCCAAGTGTGGGCAGAGGGCTGAGGCCTTGCAATCACCTCTCATGGGGTTTTTCCTCACTAAAGACTCTCGGGAAAAGGAAGCCAGCGCTCGGCGCTCCCCCTGGGCCCGGCTCTCCGGCCTCCGGGCCAGGCCACCAGACGGCTGCCAGGCACCAGTTCTGGTCTTGAGCGGACCCGGTCCCGGGCCATCTTCCCCACCTGGCAGAGGTGGAGCCAGCGGAGAGCCGGGGCCTCTTGGAAGTTTCCGAGGCCGCGCGGGTGCGCCGAGTCCGCCTCTCGCTTGCAGCGAAGGCCCCGGCGTCAGCGCGGCCGCTTTCCCCTTTTTCGCTCCAGCTTCGGGCCCATCCTGGGCTAGGGCCTGACCTGGTGGCCCACACGCAGCCCGGTGGCCCCGACTCTGAGCAGGCCCGCGGTGCACACACAGAACCGAACCCGAACACGCACACGTACACCCCACGCGCGGAGGGTCCGCAACGCCGCGCACAGACAGCCCCTTCGCGTCGGCGGCGAAACGCCTGGCCTTGTTCGCACCAAGAGGGGTCAGAGGTCACGAGAGGCCGAGGCCAAGGGCACCCGGCAGCAGAGCGCGGCGGGAAGGGGGCGCCTCACCGAGGGGCCGGGAACGGCTGACGGCGGGGCGCAGGGGCGTCCGGCATAACTCGGGAGCTGCTTTTCCCTGGCGCACAGAGCGCGGGGCCTACGGCCGCCGGGCCGCTGTTGGGACTAGCCGGGCGGGTCCCAAGCCGAGGGAGCGGAGTTCGGAAAACCTCCGAGAGTCCTGCGCCCACCCGGCTCACGCTTGGGGTCTCGGCCCCGGGAGCTGCGAGGCCGGCCTGGCGGGACCTGGCCCTGGAGGCGCGAACGGAACGGCGTGGGTCGGGCGGGGACCTCGAGGGGAGCGGCCCGGGCGCCTCTTCCGCGGGTGGGCGGGCGGGCGGCCTGCAGAGGAGGGGGCGGCGGGAGCAGGCGGCGCCGATTCCGCTCCGCGCGGCACTGGCCGCTTCGCTGCAGCCGGGGCTTCGGCGGGGCTGCGGGAGCCGCGCTGGTCGGGCCGCGGCGCCGCCCGTCCTCACCTGCCCGCCGGCCTCACCGCGGATGGCGCCGGCGGCCGGGGCTGCGGGGTGCGCGCGGGCTGCTCGGAGGCGCAGTGGCGGGCGAGGGCGCGGGTGGCTGGAGCAACCGGCCCGCGGCAAGGACCGGCTGGCGGCAGGCGGGGCGCGCGGAGCCCGGGGCTCGGCCGAGACGGAGCGAAAGAGAAAGTAAGACCGAGGACCAGGCAGTCTGGCCGGGGCAGCTCTGTCCCCGCCGGGCCCGGCTGTGCCAGGCAAGCGGGTACAGAGGGGTCCGCGCGGGCCCGAGGGCGGTAGCGGTGGGTCGGGAGGTCGCCTGGTAGGGACCCTGCTGTCGGAGGCACGGTCCCCCGGGCGGCCCGCGCAGGCTGCCGGCGTCCCAGAGGAGCGCCCTCCACCATGCGGGGCACCGCCGGGGGATAAACTTCACGACCACAGTTCCCAGCCCGGGCAAAAGTCTCCATTTTGCTCCCCAAGTGGCTGCGGCTGTCCCGCCGTTGCTACCCCTGCCCCTGCGCCCGCGGAACCGGGTGGGCGCCGGCCCGCGCCCCCTCCTCCGCCCCTCCCCGGCTCGGGGTCTCCCTCCTCTACGCCCGGCTGGCGGACGCCAAAGGCGGTGCTCTAGCGCCCACTATTTCAAAAGCCCGGAATATGATTTGACCAGGACTGAGAGCCACTCGGAGAGAGAGAGGGAGAGAGCGAGCGGGGAGGAAAAAGTTGCTCTCCCCTTTCGTCAACTTTTCGCTAACTTTCACTTTTCGCTCCCCTCCACCCCCGGCCCTCCCCCTCCGCCCCCCTCCCCGGCCCCCACCGCGCGCCTCGGGTTCCCGGGCCCGAGCGCCTGACACTGGTGGGGGGGGAGGGGGTTCGGCGGGGAGGGGGCCGGCGCCTTCGGGGAGCGCGCGGCCCGGGCGCCCCGAGCCTCCGCGCCGAGCCCGGTCGCCCCGGAGCGCGAGAGGCGGAGCAGCCCCCCGGGCCGCGCGGCCGAGCCGGGGGCCCGGAGCCGCGGGCGCGCCGGCCGCGCCCCGACGCGCACCCCTGGCCCGGGCGCCCCGGCCCGGCGGCCCGGGCCCCGGCGGCGCGGCGCGGCCGAGCGCGGGAGACTTACTTTTGGCTAGCTTCCTCGCCCTCGCCTTGGATCGCATGGTGTCGGCTCGCGGAATCTCTCTCCTCCTCCTTGAGTCCAGAAGCAGCCACACACTATCTTCATCTCCCCAGCATTGTCAGTTTGGACACCTTCGCACATGCGCACAGAGCACTCAATCTGACACCCCTCGCCGGGGCCAAAAAAACTTTGCAATGTATTCATCATCCTCATCGTCGCGCCGCCGCCGCCGCCGCCGCCGCCTCGGCGCGGGATTGGGGGGCTCTCCTCGGCCTTCTCGGTCTTCGTCTCACTTATCTCTCCCCCCTCTCCCCCCCTTTTCAGCGCAGCTCGGAACTGGCCCTTTAAGAAAACATTCCGTGCTCGGCGCTCCCGCCCGGGGCCCGCACCCCGGACACTTTAAAAGGACCCAGGTGGCCCCGGAGGCGAGGTGACTATCCCCCCACCCTGCCCCTGCGTCGCGGCGCGTCGCACTGCTGCTCCCGCCCCAGTCGGGGCCGAAGATGGGGCGGCGGCTGCGGGTTTCCACACGACTTCCTTGGATCTCGGGGCACACGCGCCGATAGTTCGGACGCGGGTCCGGGCTGGTTTTGCTCCATTTTACAGCGTTTTATTACTAATTAAAAAGCTTTGCATTCCCAGTCGCCCCGGCCCGCTTTTCTCCTGCACTCTCCCCTCGGCCCCCGTCCCCGCCCCGCGGGGCGCTGGAGGGGGCGTCGGGGCTCGCGCGCCAGAACCCGGCTCCTCCGAAGCCCCTCCGGGCCCCGCCGCCCCCCTCGGGCCTCCCGGCCCCCGCCTCCTCCCCTTCGCCCCCACCCAACGGCTGCTGCTTCGGGCTTCGCGGCTCAAAAACAACAGCGGAGGCGCCGCCAGCTCTGCGCTCCGCCACTGCCCAGGCCGGCGGGCGGCACTCGGACCCGCCGCCCTCGGTCCCTCGCGAGGCCGCGGAGGCCAACACGCCTCGCAAGGGGGGACAGCGCGGGGGCGGCCGTCCAAACACCAGGCGTCCTCGGCTGGTTGTCCCAGGGCGCCCGCACCTCTCCGCCCGCGCGCTCCTGCCGCCGCGCCCCCCAGGTGAGTACCCGGCTGCGCGAGCGCCCGAGCTGGGCCACCTTCGGGGACCTGGGCCTCTGGGGACACTCCCCTCTGGCCTCTCCGGGCCCAGGTGCGTAGGGGGCGGAAGGGCCGGCGGCGCAGGTGGAGCAGCGCGGATAGGAGCCGACCAGACGCTTCCTCTTCCCCTGCAGCCCCCAAACTCCGAGGCGCTGCGGCGGAGGGGCCGGGCTAAGCGCAGGCAGGGTGGCCCCGGCCCAGGAACCTGACGGTCCAAGTGCGGATTTCTCATCTGAGTATCTGGGAATCGAGAATGAATTGGAAGGAAACCGAGGCGCTGCCCTGGCCGGGTTGCTCCCCCGCACCCTTCCGGAGCACCGAGGTCCTGCCCGGGAACGGAACTTGGAGCTGCCGCAGAGTCAGCCTGAGCTCGAGGCAGGGGTCGCGCCCGCGATGTGGGGTCTCTCCGCCGCCCCGCGAGGCTCCTGGCCGTGCCCTCCCTGCCCTTTGTTGTGTAATGAGACCTGTGGCGGCTCCACTGAGACCCACACGTGGAACTCCGCGCCTCCGCGTTAAAGGAGGTGAAACGCAGCAGCCCTGAGAAATCCGAGACCCCGGTGTCCTAGCAGAGGCGCCCCGGATGGGGAAGGGCGTGCGGCCGGCGCTACCCCAGAGGAAAAGCCCAGCGGAGCGGGGCTGGGCAGGAGCCGGTGGCGGCGGTGCGCTGGGCCTTCTGCCTTGGATCCTCCGCAGTCGGCACCACTTCCCTGCTCAGATTCGAACCCAGATACGGCTCCCATGGCTCCAGGGTGCCCAGTCTTGCAGCCAGCTCGCCGCCCGAACCCTGGATGGAAGAAGCGCTCACTGGCCGCTACCTCTGCTGTTTCTGGCACCAGGTGAGTGTTGCCCAGGGAAGGGCCATGAGCAATGGCACAGCCCCATTCCCTGCCATCCTTCTGAGGGTCTATCGACCCCTTTACCCACCCTCCCCACACCCTGACCATCTTTCAACAGGGGCTGGGGCACAGAACAGCTCAGTTTACAGGCCCAGCTCTGGAGGTCTTGATCAGCATAGCAGACTAGGGCACTGCTGCAGCTCTGGACGGCCAAGGCCGGTTCTGAACCTGCTCACCCGAGTGGGCGGGAGGTGCTGGAGCCCAAGAACACAGGCGCTGTCCTGCCTAAACCCTACCAAGGGCAGACTCCCGATGGTAGGCTCAACCTGGCTGGAGCTGCTGGCTAGAAAGGACTCAAGGTCACTCCCGTATCTCTGGACCCAGTTCCCCCTTGCTGAAGCCTCCGCAGGTTTGGGAGGAGGCCTGGGGAAGTTACCATAGTGCCTGCAAAGCACTCCCACCTGCAAAGAGGGTCCCTTCCCCACCCTTACCCTGCAGCCCAGCAAAGGCCTCCTTTGCCTGTGGCCTGGAGGTAGCCAACAGATGCCAAGGTTGTGTAGTCCTGGCCTTCTTGTAGGGGTGCCCCAGCTCTCTCGGGTCCTTTCCATGCCTCCTCCTCCAGCTCAGGAGGTGATTCTCAGAACCCTGACCAGGCTAGGACAGGACAGCCATCCCTGGCACTGTTGCCAGCACCTAGGGAAGAAGGGCAGGAGGTATGGGAGCAAGCTGGTCTGTGCCATCTGGCCCCTGCCCTCCTCCAGGCTGTAGGGTAGGGATGAGGTCACGGATCTGCCTGGGGAGGGGTAGCTGCCGGTCAAGCCTGGCCAGGGAGAAGCTGGGCTGCCTACCCGCAAGGCACTGATGCAGCCCTGGCTCCGGTGGGTCAGTGTCTCCCCAGCCTGCTCGAGAAGCCCAGGCAGGCTGTCCCCAAGGCCAGGGCCCTGGCCGGGGTTGCATCCTGGCCTGGCCAGGCCCTGCCCCCGCGTGGCCAGACTTAGAAGCGGAGTGCAGGTCAGGATTGAGGAGTCCCATGAGGAAAAAGAGTGAAGCAGGGAAGAGGACATGCAGATCCTCCCTGGGGCCCAGGTCTGTGTTCCTGTCTGGCAAGGGCTTTGGGGGGCTTGGGGAACAGGTAGGGCAAGTGGAGGCCCAGTGGGGAAAAGGTTGGTATTAAAACTTTTAAGGGCAATTTTCAAACCAAGTCTAGGTCTGCAGAGCCTTGGGGCAGACGCCAGGCCCTGGGGCCCCTGTGCTGGCAGTGTGAGTGCTGTGAACTCATTCCCACTGACCTCCTTGAGTTGTCCAAGGACAGTGAGTGTGGGGTGACCACAAAGAGGCTCCTACACTGGACAACTGCACGCTGCTGTCGAGTTCCACAACCAATCTTATAGCTGGGGTCTTGGAGGTTAGCTAACCACCTACTTCTGCTGGGGTCTGGGCAGAGAGGGAGTCCATGGAAACGTGATTTCCCCATGAGCCCTGCAGGCTCCCAGTGTTTCTAGCGGCTGCAGACCCATGACCAGGTTAATTCCTTAGAGAAAAGGGCAGACTTGAGAGCCAGAAATGCTGGTCCTGCAGCGCTGGAGGAAGCATCTTATTAGACATCGAGTAGGAGGGCCCCAAGCCCCAGGGGTTCCCCAGAAGCCCATTGAGTAGCAGAACTACCATGTCGGCCCACCCTGCACTCCCTGAATCTACAAATGCATTCTAGGGCTAGAGAGCCCCTTCGCTTGGCCAGGTCTTGTGCCCCATGCCAACTGGCAGGATCATAGCTGCCCCAGCTGCCCCCACCTCCAGCCCCTCAGGTCCCAGAGAGCCCTGCTTTGGGCTGTGTGTGCAGGACAGGAGGTGTGCAGGACAGGAGGTGTGCAGGACAGGAGGTGGGCACGGCACCTTGCAAGATGGACTGACCTCACCAGGTTCTCACCCCTTTCCCTCCTGCTCCTCTGTGGGGTTTGAACTTGGCCATGGGTTTTCAGATACTTGGCCTCAGGCTCTATTGAATTCCAAGTCAAGGTTTTACTCACTCCACACCCCCACCTTGTTCCTCCAGGTAGCAAGGAAGCACATAGCCTCTGGTTTACCAACGGGCTTTCCTGGGAGATTGGAAATGCCCCAGGTGGGATCCAGACCGCCAGCACTCACCCCACCCCCAATATCTGGGCCACTGAGTCAGGCCAGGATGAGGCTCTCACTCTCTGGGCATGTTCTCCTGCCCCACACTTGGTGGGAATGTCTCCCAGACTTGAGCAGCAGGAGGCAGGAGACCACAGGGGCCCTTGGGGATGGCTGACTTGGCTCCCACTAGACAGAGGGGAACATGGAGGAGGGCTGCTTGGACCCCGTACCTCGCAGGGTCTCAATGGGGGCTGAATGCTGGAAGGAGCCTGCGTTTGGTCTAGAATGGTGGGGGTGGGTGGGAGACACAAGTCATCGAAAAGGCCATTTCTTCCCTATTCAGGCCTCTGAAATGACCCGAAGTGGGTGCTTCCTCCAGCATTGTGCCTCAGCTGCACACTGGGGCCATAGGAATCCCCCCCAGACTCTGGGGTCAATATTTCTGGGTCCCTTTGAACCTTCTTCTCACCCGAGGCCTGGGAAGCCTTCCTGTGCCCTGGAATACTTGGAGAGGACACGACACAGGTCCCAGTTCTGGCCCAGTGGTGGCAAGGTTCCGTTCCCTGCACTGCTCAAATGTAGGGACCTCCCAAAGCCGATACCCGATTCCAGGTCCCAGAGTGGGTAGCTGGGAGGAGTGGACTTCCCAGGAATGTGAGCCACGTCGCTGATTTCGAACAAACCCCAGATGTGTGGAAACTGACTTATTTTGATTGCAAGAGGATCCTTGTCCCTTGCAGATGGGCAGCTTCCGGGGACCGGCTTGCCATCAGCAGGCACGATGCTGTGGCCATCCCAGTGGAACCCCTCTGCCCGGCTTTGTGTCCTGGCATCCCCACCAGAGTGCCCCGCTGTCCTGCGCAGATGTCAGGAGTATCTGGATGCCCCATGGGCACTTCAACGGCCCAATTCGGAGTTTTTTGTTTTGTTTTGTTTTAAGAGATTGAGACTGTGAACCTGAACTCCCTTGATCTCCTCCCGTTGGGCCCAGGAGGGAGCCTAATCCAGGCCCAACCGGGCTCACTGAGAAGGTGCGGGAAGCCCCCAACGACTCCTACTCGTGTGCGGCCCTTACTGGGCCGGGACGCTGCAGTGGTCGAGCCGCTGGGTGTCTGCAACCGGGAGCTCCCCCGCCGCTGGGGGCAATAAACGGAATCGGTTTCCCACGCTTTCCCTCTTGATCTCAGAACCTTTAAAAATCCGCCAACGAATGTCGTTGCCTGGATGCGCTGCGTGTGACCTTCAGCCGTGTGTTCACGCGTACCCGCAGCCGTGGAGTGGCGGTCCCTTCCTGCCGCCGCAACCCCGGGGCCGCCGGTCCGCGCACACCGGCAGCAACTTCGTTACCCACAGCGCCCGCGTCCTGCGGCTCGCGCGGAACTGCGCGCGGGAAGGTGGCAGAGGGACCGCTCCAGAACGCTGCTCGCGTAGACGCTGCCTCTGTCTTCAGATCGCAGTTCGGCCGCGCGCGGGCGGGGCCCTGGCAGCAACGAAAATGGCGAGTCTCGTAGCCTTCCGGGCCTGATGGCCGCATTCCGGGAGTCGCCAGGTGGGAGTCCGCCTTCCGCGTCCCCAAACGCCCAGAGCGCGGGACAAGGGCCGGCGGCCGGGTGACCAAGCCGGTTCCCCGCATAGGCTTGCGCCAGAATCCATATTCAGCTTGCAAGGCCCCCTCCGGCCGTCTCTCCGCAGAGCGCCCTGCCCCACACTGCCGGCCCTCTTAGCTTGAAAACCAAATTTTGCCTTTGATCCTGAGAGATTGATACCCCACAGGTGAAACCGTGGAGACGGAGCTGCGGTGGGTTTCTTCTCTACGCCTCAGTTTCCCCGTCTGTGAAATGGGACCCGGCGCGCCTGTGCTCCTCCGGGAGTTTATTGCAGGGCTGGCTGGAGAGAATGGCTGGGTGGAAGCCGCCAGGTGGAGGCCCATGGTCGCCCACCCCGTGGGCCTCATTTGCTGGGCGGGGGTCAAAGGCTTGCGAGGCAGGGATCGCCCCAAGGAGGCTCTGGAGCCGGCCCTGCCAGTCCCTGTCTCCTCCCCTCGCTCCCCTTCCCCCGGCCTTCCCGGAACTCTCTTCGCCCGCTGGGTGGAGGAGGGGCGAGGGCCGGCTCCGCCGTCCCCGGGGTCGCTCTCCTCCCACCCCCACCGCAGAATCTGGCCCGCCCTGGGCTTTCCTCTCAGGTCCCTTTGGGTCTCCAGAAACCCGGAGGTTTCGCGCAGACTCGAGCCTGAGATGGCATCATCCAGCACCCCAAATCCTGCGGAGGGCAGAGGGGATTTGGGGGAGAAGGCAGGGGCTGCCAGGGGCGCTTTGGCTGCTGGGGGTGGGGGACAGGGCCTGCGGGAGAAGCGGGTGGGGGAGGACTGGAGACCCAGGCCCCCCTAGATACAACGAACCTCGCGGGAGGGAATAGGCCATCCCCGTACCCACTTCCAAGGACATAGGTCTTTTAGTACCGGCGGGCCGCGTTCCCACACATCTGGGCGGGCCCCGCAGCATGGCCTGGGGAGCTGAGCTTCTGGATCTGACACAAACTACCTTTCTGGGTGTAGAAGGAGGAGGTGGGGTGGGGGAAGCAGGGGCCGTGGTCTGAGCATACCTTCTCGCCTCTGGGCCTCCCACCTCCTGGGGCAGGACCTACGGGGAAGGACGGGAGCGGAGTGCGGTGGCCGGAGGGACACCCAAGGGTCTACCCCTGCGAGCTTTGCTTTCTACTAAACCAGTAACTGTAGTGGTGGTGGCGGTCGAGACACAGCTCAAAGAGCCGGCAAGAATAGAGCAGACACCAGGATCGCCCCAGGCAGGGAAAAAATGACCAGTTCTGTAGAGTGACCCGAAGGTGATGGAATCACTCGGGCGTCCTCCTGGGAAAGGGCTGCCTGCCCCCGCCGCCAGAACGCTGCCGGCGTCCATGCCCCCGGGGCTGGAAGAGCAGCCAGGCACAGGTAACTCAGGAACTCTGGTCTCCTCACCCGGCGCTGCGCTGTGGGGCGCCCTCACCCCCACACTTTGTGTCCCTGGGCCTCCTCATCAAGGCAGGGGCCCTGAGTGGCAGGGACACCCCTGTGTGCACAATATGCCCCCTGCAGCCCCCACAGGTCACCTGTTTGAGGACCTAGGTGGGGCCTGCCCTGGGTGAAGAGGGCAGGTCCAGCCTTCAGCAGCCCCTCCCCCATGACTTCAGTGGAATTACAAGGGGAACACCCAGGGCAGCTCCCATAGGCTGCAGAAGGGAAGAGGGGAGGGCTTCTACTGAGGTGAGACAGAGTGATTCACCCCTCCCACACCATCAGCCTCCCTCCCCTCTCCACCCTTCATTGCTGGGACCCCAGGGCCCATAGACAGCTGGGGGAGCGGGGAGACAGGAGGAACTCAAGCTCAGCTTCTGCCTCCTGTCTCCTGGGACCCTTGAGCAGCCCCTCCAGCTTCCTGGGAGTCCAATTCCCCAAGGTACAACAAGTGGCGGCAGAGCCTGGCCCCGTCGTGGGGCGGCTGCACCCAGGTGAGTGGCTTGCAGTTCCTGGAGCCCTGCAGGTTGTTGGAGAGTCAGGGAGCCTTTCTTCCTCCCACCTGCCCTCTTGCACTTCCTCTCCCACAACCCAGGGCTACTCCCAGAGGCTCTGAACTGGAGCCCTAGAAGGTAACCACCTCCTGGCTGGACACAGAGAGGGCAAGTTGGGGCCAGGAGTGAGGATAGGTGCCCTAAGAGCCACCTGCTCCACTCATCCACGAAGGCCTTAACTGGCTCAGGGGCCCCTGAGCTCTCAGTCAAGCCCCGCCCTCCTGACCTTGTCCTGCCGTGGTGCTGCCAGTCGGGTGGAGGTGTCTCAGGGCCAGCTGGTCTCCTGGCAACTGAAGCCCACACTTCCCTTCCATTCACTCATTCCTTCCTTCCCTCACGCAGGAGGCGCTGCAAGGCTCAGTGCTCCTGGAGCTTCGAGTCTATGATATGAGTTAGGGTGTCTCCTCCATCAGTTCTACAGGAGGGTGTCTCCTTCTTCAGACCTGGAACTTCCAAGGCATTTTACCCAAAGCTCCAGCACCTGACCCAAGGCTGGGCTGTGCTCTGTCCTCAGTGAAAGAATGGATGAGTCATAACTGAGTGATTGGAGAGAGCTGAACGAGTAGGTTTCCCTGGGTTTTCCACAGGCGGTTTCAGCCCAGGGGAAGACCCAGGGAGATGAGGATGTCATGGTGTGGAGGCAGCAGCCTGGGGCAGGGACTGTGCTGAGTGCCTGAGGCCGAGACACCCCTCTGTAACCTCCATAATCCATCAGGTCTCAGAGGGCTGTCCTATGTTCAGTTAGCTAATGCCAGCACCATATGACGAGGACACAGCAGTGAGGAGCTGCCCAGGTCGCTTGCACTGTGTTTGGAAAAGGAAGCTGGCTTGTTCTGGGGTCCCCAGCAGGATGGGGAGCAGGGGTGGGGACCCTGGCAGAGCGAGAGTTCTAGGAGAGAAGCTGGTCCACCCACAGGCTCCCTGGCCTGAGTGCCGCGCCAGGCAGGGTGCTAGGCGTTGTGCTGCTCGCTTCCCACCCCTGGGCTGCAACTGTGGGCTGTGTGGCCTTCCCAGTTCTGTGAGGTGGCTGCTGTGATTGTGCCCACCTTACAGATGGGAAGACTGATGCTCAGAGACTTGAGCAACCTAGGCAAGGACCTGTCCTTAGAGGCAGAAGCAGTACTCAGAGGAAGAGCTCCCTGACCACAAAGCCCCAGATGACTTACACTGCAGGGATAGAGCTCTCCGGGGTGTGCAGGGTGGCAGAGGTGCCTCTGAGAAGAGATCTCTGCCTGGGACCCTTTCCTGGGGCTCTTATGGTGCTGGGAGTGTGAGCACCACAAGAGCCCCACTACAGCGATGCCACCCAGAGGGCGCTCTGGCCTATTGGTCACCCGTGTCCTTCTGACAATGACCAATACACTTATTTGCCAGGGTCCAGGAAGACTCAGGCACTGGAGTCTGTATTTCCTGAGTCCGCCTCTCACTGGTAAGTCCTGAGCCCCCTTCCTTCCCAGCACCCACTCTTGGAGCAGCTCTCCAGGGCTGTGCTGTGGCTGCTGCTGTCAGGGAGAGGGCCCCATGCTCCAGCCAGGGGCTTTAGGGGCTCAGTTTAGGACTAACACGCCAAGCAAGTCGTGCTGAGTGTCTGGGCTTCTTCTAGGAAGGTATTTCCAATCATCAAATGTGCCACTAAAAAAAATGCGTGTCAGTTAAGTGTGCACTAAGCCTGGACCACATGGGACATAGTTGTTCTAATAAACACGAATAAGCCAGTTTTCACATTAGAGAAATAACAGTTTCTTGTAGAAATGTGGTGCTTTTAAAAGAGGTTAATTAATAAACAGCAGGTAATTGTTCATGGCACATTGTGGCAGAGGGTAATTTTCATTTTAGAGGATGGAAGGGCCAAATATCCCTCCCCACTCAGCATTTTTCTCTAATAATCACCTCAGCTTCACCTCCGCCTTTCATTTTTACAGCTGGAGCTGTTTATCATCGCTCCAACTTTCACTAAAAAGGAAAAACTATCACTTAAACAAAGCCATTGAAAACCCAGCATCATATGTGGATTTTTTAACATAAATAAATCATACAAACTAAGATTTATGTTCTTGGAATGATGTCATTCATTGAAGGCTGCCTTCCCAATCAAAGCCGTGTTTAGTGGTTTTTCTTTGGTGGGTGTGCTTTTTGCTAAATAGGAAAAACCCGTTCGGTCATCCTTGCTGCTGTCTTTTCTCAGCTTGGCCCAGAACATCAGAAAGGTTTCTCCCTGGGCCAGTCCATAGAGCCAAATGGTGAAAATGGTTTTAACTCCATAGACTGCTTTTAAAGCCTTTGCTGTTGAACCGTAAGTCTGAGATGAAAAGACTGTTAAACCTTCCCTAAGAATGTTTGCAGGACACAGCAGAAGTTTATGGTCCTCGCAGGTCTCCCAGAGCCTAGAACGAATGTCGCTGCAGAGTAACGCGTCTGCAGAAGCTTCACCGAGTTGAAATGAGTGAGGAGCATTGAAATCAGCACGCGTGGATAAATAAGATGTGGCATATCCATGCAATGGAATACTATGTCGCCATGAAAAGGAGTGAAGAGCTGACACTTGCTGCAACATGAAGGAACCTGGAAAACATGATGCTCCATGAAAGAAGTCAGTCATAAAAGGTCACACATTGTGTAATTCCATTTATATGAGATGTCCAGGATGGGCCAATCCATAGAGACTGAAGACAGATTAGTGGTTGCCTGGCTGTAGAAGTAGAGGCAGTAGTACCCTGGCCCAGTGAAGGCACTGGGAACAGATGGGCCACACCAGAGTCCAGCTCCGGCCCTCCAGGCATTGACAGGAGACCATTAGCTGGAAGCCAGTGGGAAGTTGGGCTGACTAATAGGGACAGGGGTCCAGGAGGCTGCAGTGTGAGGTTTTCATTTGTTCAAGCAATGCACATTCACTGCGCGCTTACTATGTCCCAGGGACAGCCATAGGCCCTGAGGCTGCAGCAGTGATGGAGACAGATGCTGCTCCCATCAAGGTCATGTTTTGATGGGGAAGCAGCAATAAGCCAAATACATGTGGGTCTGGCGTGCCAGGCTAGATGATTCTAGTGCAATGGACCTGAAGGAGGAGAAAGGTGAAAGCACAGTCTTCAATCAGTTGTTCAAGAAAGGCCTCACTGAAGTAGCGACATTTGGGCAGAGACATGACGGAGGAATGAGGGAGTCACCCAAGAGTCTGGGAGAACAGCACTGGGGCAGAGGGAACAGCCAGTGCAAAGGCCCTGAGGCTCCAGTGACCAGTGTGGCTGGTACAGCAGGACGAGGAGGGGAGGAGGGGAAAGCCCTGTAGAGTGGCAGTGAGAGGACAAATTAAGGCTGAAGATGGAATTAAAGTTGCTCTCTCAGCAGATTTTAAAGTAGGGAGATAATTCTGGATTATCTGGGTGGCCTTAATGTCATCACAAGGATCCTTAAAAGTGGAAGAGGGAGGCAGGAGAGTCAGGATTAGGATGAAGAGGAGATATGTGAGAATATAAGGAAGATTTCCCTGCCTGTCCTGGCTCCGAAGACAGAGGAAGGGCCCATGAGCCAATGTATGTGAATACCGACAGACTCTAGAAGCTGAAAAAGGGAAGGAAATGGATTCTAGAGCCTCCAGCAAGGAAGGCAGCCTTGCCCATGCCTTGACTTTAGGACACTGAGATCCATTTCGGACTTCTGACCCACAAAACCAAAATCTAGCAAGTTTGTGCTATTTGAAGCCGCTAAGTTTGTGGTAATTTGTTAGTGGTAATTTGTTAGAGCAGCCACCAGAAATTAATATGGGGAGGAAATAGGGATTTCATCTGTCCAGGGTCAAGACATCTTGGGGGTGGTAAGAATCTGAGCCCATCTCACGTAGATGAGAATGAGAGCATGATGACCACAGAATAGTGGTGATGGCCATCCTCACATCTGGCTCCATAGCCACCCATGCCAATATAGATTGGCTGCCTTCTATGTCCTGTCCATGGCCATTCTCTAAGGAAATTCCCTTGCATCTCCTGCGACCTTTACAGACTACATATTTTGTTGGATTACTTTCTCATTTTCATGAAGCATATCTTCTAGTAACATCTGATAAAAGATGTGTAGGAGATAAATATTTTAGGACTTCCACGTACCAGAATGGTAGTTGAGCTGGGTATGGAATTCTAGATTGGAGATGAATTTTTTGTTCGGAATTTTAGATAATGTTGCCCCATTATCTTCTTGCTACCAGGCAGCTATTGAGAAGTCTAGGAAGATTCTGTTTCCTCGGATTTTGTGTGCAATGTGATTTTTCCTTTTTGGAATTTTATAGAATCTTCTATGTCCCAAGTGGTCCAATATTCCACAATGATGTGCCCTAGAATGTGTCTGTTTTCATCCACTGTGAGTTCTTTCATACTGAAAACTTGTGCCCATTAGCTCTGGGAAATTTTCTTGAAATACTTATAGTTATTTCCACTCTGTTTTGTTTCTTCTTCATTTTTGGAAGGTGATATTTATATGAGCTTTCTTCTGCAGATATGATCTGTGTGTCCTCCAAATGGCTTTGTTCTATCTGTTTCAATCTGTCTTTCCTGAGGCATCTGCTGATTATTGGCTTTCTGCCCATGATGAGGACCTGACTGGAAGTTCTGACAGTAAGAGAGGAGGGGTTCATTGCCCTTGAGACTCATGGATGGGGGTGATCCTTGATCCTTGGATGTCAGTATCTTTAGGAACTGACCTGATTCCCAGAGAAGTTACTAAGGGAGCAAGGGAGGGGTCTGGCTGCCAGTCTTCTTGGAGTCAACTTGGAGTTAAAGGCAGGAGTCTTTGCAGTCAGCTGCCTGAATTCTGGGAAATAAACCTCTGGACTTTTGCTGGTGTCAGGGAAGGATAAGGAGGGGATAGGAATCTAACTTGATCACAGGTCCCCTTCACTCTAGCCTTCCTGATCATAGCCACTCTTGCACCCCAAGTCCTAGAGGTACTCTTTCTTTCTTTCTTTTTCTTTCTTTCTTTCTTTCTTTCTTTCTTTCTTTCTTTCTTTCTTTCTCTCTCTTTCTTTCTCTCTCTCTCTCCTTCTTTCTTTCTTTCTTTCTCTCTCTCTTTCTTTCTTTCTCTTTCTCTCTCTCTCTTTCCTTCTTTCTTTCTTTCTTTCTTTTTCTTGACAGAGTTTCACTCTTGTTGCCCAGGCTCGAGTACAATGGTGCAATCTTGGCCCACTGCAGCCTCTGCCTCCTGGGTTCAAACAATTCTCCTGCCTCAGCCTCTAGAGTAGCTGGGATTACAGGTGCCCACCACCATGCCCGGCTAATTTTTTGTATTTTTAATAGAGATGGGGTTTCGCCATGTTGGTCAGTCTGGTCTTGAACTCCTGACCTCAGGTGATCCGCCCACCTCAGTCTCCCAAAGTGCTGGGATTCCAGGCATGAGCCACTGTACCAGGCCCCTAGAGGTACTCTTATACTCAGTCCTGAGTGTTGGGGTTCCCCTTGGTTATAAATCTGGTAAAATCTCACCTTTCTGCTCTCTATTCGGGACTTTCTCTTGTCTCTGACCCAGTTGCCACAGGTCCATCAGCGATTCAGCTTTCAGAAGGGAGACCCACCCTATGGGTAGATGTCTTTTAAAATCTCTTTATTGTGGTTGAAGTGGGGCTTATAGAGGGGACGCTATTGAATGGGTGTGTACTTAATTTGCCATCTTAACCCAGAGGCTTTTGTGGCTGTTTTAGAAAGACTATGCCCATTCTTAGGTCCAGGCCTGATACCATACACAGTGTCCACACACAGGGGCTCTGACCCCACAGGGTTCTTTGGGTTCTGATCAGTGATCTTTCTAGAGCCTCGCCTATGACCTGCTTCTGGCCACAGAAACAGCTGATAAATGAAATTTGTTAGTTTCCTACAATGGGGCGTTGCATCGGCAGTGAACATAGGGACAAGAGGGCGTGCTTATCACCTTGCTGACTTGTCCCTGAGACATGGGGGTGACCTTTAAGAATGTCAGCTGAAATATTAACAGAGGTTTTCCCTGGGTGATGAGATCTGATAATATCAAAACTTTTTTCTCTGTTATGTTTCTCTGCATTTAATTTTTCTCCACTGACTATATGTTAGTGGTAGAAGTGTTACAATGTTTAAAAACGAGAACATCAAAAAATTAGCCCAGAGTGGTGGTGGCATGTTCCTGTGGTCCCAGCTCCTCAGGAGGCTGAGGCAGGAGGAACTCTTCAGTGCGGGAGGTGGAGGTTGCAGTGAGCCAAGATCTCACCACTGCACCCCAACCTGAGTGACAGAGTAAGAGCCTGTCTCAAAAAATAAAAATAAAAATGAGAAGAAAATCCTATCTGTCCTTCAATAACCAGCTCAGCCACTGCTACCTCCTGGGATTCTCCCGTATTCCCACTGTTGGGAATGCTTCCTGCATCACATTAAATAAACTGCATTTTCTAAATATCAATTTGATTTCTGGGTTTGTCTCTCTTCTTCTGGGGTGTGGACAGCTGGAGATGTGCTCTGAACACATCACATGTTTGGACGGGAGAGGCACGCAGGCTCCCAGCCCTGAGATGTGGGCAGGTGAGTAAGTATGCAGGCTCTGGAGTGACTCTGGATCCATCATGCCCTCGCTCTGGGCTGGAGCTGGTCACAGCTGTTCTGGCCTCAGTCTCCCCTTCTGTAGATGTGACCAGTTTGAGGGAGAGGGTCATTGACTCCATGTAGGGCTGAGGACCGTGCTCCATGCAGAGTGCAGAGCCCAGCCACTGCCAGGTTAGGTGTTTGTAAATGAAGTCAAATACAAGCCACATACAATTTCACGTCGTAACCATTTTTAAGTGTAGAGTTCAGTGGCATTGGGCACATTCACACAGTTGTGCAGCCATCATCACCCTCATTTCCAGTCGCTTCCCGTAGCCCCTCCCAAGTCCCTGGCACCCCTCTTTTTGCTTTCAGTCTCTACGGACGTGGCCACTCCAGGGACCTCATAGAAGTGCAGTCCCACAGGATTTGTCCTGTTGTGACTGGCTGATCTCACTTGTCTCATGTCCTCAAGGTTCAGCCGTGTTGTCACACATGTCAGAATTTCCCTCC